ATCATTACTTAACACATATCAAGGCATTATATTTGTTGTAATGTTGGTCCCCAACAATGAACAATTAATCATGAATCTCAACGAATCTACATTTTAGTGGAAAGATATAAGCCAATGATCACAGTCCTACATAGCAGGGCTTAATTATAAATGGGTAAAAAAAAAAAGAAGGAAGACAGGTCTCCCAGTGAGACAAGCTCACATGAGCAAACTCATACAGCTGGCAAAGTACTGGATGAGATCAGAAAACTGTACAAACTAGTATCACCAGAAAATAGGATGGTCATGGATCCTGAGGCTGTGACGATACTACATGGAAAGGCAATCTAGGATCAGATCTTCAATTCTACTTTAGGAAAACTGATTTTTCCCCTTGAAACAAGAGTAAGGAATCTTAAATCAGGCTGCTTGAGTTTATATGCCAGATTTGCCACTTACAATAGCTATGTGCCCTGAATAATTTACTTAAAATCTCCATGTTTTATCTGTAAAATGGAAATAATAAATGCACCTTCTCATAGGTTGTGATAAAAACTCAGCGAGATCATGTAAAATGCTTAAAACAGCACCTAACACAAAGCAAATCTTCAAAGTAGTGGCTAGTATTATTATTAGCAATTACCAGATAATGGCGAACCACTGAGGATTTTGAACAGAGGCTGACGTGATCAGAACTATACTTTAAAACATTCTCTTTGAGTCTATACATACTGAAATAAATACTACACGAGTATGAGGAACATCTGTAACATATTTTAAGGAGGGTATATTAAAAAAAGAGAGAGAGCACTCACGTTCCCAATTTGTCTATGTAAACCACCTGTCTTCAGCTTCCCTTGCAAGGGTTCTCAGAAAAGAAAAGGTAATTGGCAGTATCAATGTAGATTCCTTATTTAGTAACTCCTAAGACAAGAGAGGAACTAGTCATACTATGTGAGTGCTTTAAACAGCTAATATTAATAGTTTGACAGCAAATTTTAACTCTTTTCATAGAAATCTTTCCAACATCAGAACATAATTTAACCTATCTTGATGACCCAAAATCTTTATGAACTATGCTTCACAGATGTGAGTAGTATTAAACCACCCCAGCTGCAATCTTAAACTTGAAAATTTTCCCATTTTTTACCTTTATTATGAAATTCAGAGTCGCACTACACATATCTCTCTCTTCAGAGCTATCCTCTGTGTATGAACAGTGCTGTTCCTGGGGTCCACAGAAGCACACTTGTAGTTTGTCTTGTCTTTTCCCTCCCTCTGCAGAGCTCTTTGGGTTCCTCATTCTTCCCAGCTAGATTTTTTTCTTCCCCATCAGCAGATTCTGCAGTGTCCGACATTCATCATTTACAGTACACTAACATCTCCTTGCAACTTCTATCATTTCTTCAGCACCTTGCTTAGTTATCTACCACCATCCCAACACTCCTTAAATGAAGTTGGAAAAAAACATCATTTTAATTTCAAAACAGAGCTACCTATAAATAACAAAAGGGACTAAATATTTATTGAACTTAAGTTTGATGTGTTTGCACCTCTCATTGCTCAAGGCTATCCAAAGTTTGGTCTTGAGATAACGAAGCTTTGCTACTGTAAACCTACCGTACAGTAAGAGAGCCTGGATGCAAAGACAACAGACTTGAGTTTCACTCTTGCTGGCTGTGTAAACTGGGACAGATCCTTTAATCTCAGCCTCACAGTGCCTCTACTTACCTCACAAGGCTATTCTGAGAACTAAATTTTGAAAACAAAATTCAAAATTTTATACAAATGTTAAATTTTCTGTCTTTTTTATTCTCTACACCAAACTGTTTTGGGGGAAGAAAGCAAGGCCTCTAATACGGTAAAGGAATACTAGGAAAGTCCTTACTCAGTAATACTCCCCTACATACATTACACCAATTACATACTCATTTTGATAAACAAGCTCCTCTTTCAAACATCTCCTGGTAGAGCTAACCCTATTGTTCATTCATGCTTCTGTATACTGCTTTGATATTGAAGGATTCAACACAGTTTGCCTTGTATTTTAGTTAACTCTGCACATGTCATCTCTTCACTAGATCGGTGATTCTCACGGGGAAAGTAAAATTCTCCAGTAGCTGTTCTTTGAAATGTTATGTTTGATATTACAAATTTTCTTTTATTGGAAGGCCCTATTGCTTTTGTTATTCAAACTCTTAGAAGCAAATATCCAAAAATCCTAAGAAAGACAGGAGAAGAAGAAAGGACTAGAAATAGTTAAGTCTTTAAATGAAGGAGGAGGAAACTAGGTTTCACAAAAGGCCTACCTACTGACATGCCTACCTATAGAGCATTTCCACATACTTCATCTAATTTTAAACTCAAAACAGCTCTGTGAACAAAGTATTATTATGGATGAGGAAAACAGGACTCTGATGACTAAATGGGGCCATTTTCTTTTTGAAAGGGAGAGAACTGAGGGGAAAAAGGAAAAAAGGTATAGAACAACATAGGTTAGATTCCTGCTTTCAAGTGTCTATTCTCCTCTGAATCCCTCCCTTTCTATGGACATTATGGATTTCACAGTAGTATCTTCTATATGTTCTCCCCTAATCCTGAAGAACTTCCATACCCAGTCCAGACTATGTGCTCAAATTATTTTGAAAAAGTGGGTGAAAAGAAGGTAATTTGCAATTAATTTCTCTCTCTGAAAGGAGGAACGGAGGTATTTAAAATGAATTACATATTACAAGTTAAAACAAGCCTCCTTATAACAAACTATTAATATATTAAATGTAACTTTCCACACTGAAACCATCTGTGACGCCTTAATGTTGTTCTTTTAGAATATTTTCAATGACACTTCAAACAAAAGATTTCACAGAAATTTTTCTACAACTCTAGTTTGCCACTGTGCTAAGAAAAAAGACAACTCCACGGTGGGTTTGTTTTGGTCACTTACCACTTTTATGACCCTGAACAAATTAACCTGTATGCCTCAGTTTCGTTTTATGCCTTCAGTTTTATTTGGAACTAGAACCTAGCAGCATTCTTGTAGGTGTAAAAGATACTACATCCCACATCCCTGCCTTTGCGGTACATTGCCCAATCACATCTATACAAATTTTTATTAATTTCGTGCTTATTCAACACAAAATGCTATATTGATGAAGACAAAAGGAAACCCATACTACAACTATGTAAGCAGCCATGTACAGCTGTTTAAAAGAGTATTGTCAAATCAAATAGTGAAGATGAGTCACATGAAAAAATTTAAAATCATCTAAAAATTCATATTATGAAAGAAACTTGTTGTCCTAAACTTGATTGTAATCCTAAACATTTTCACATTACCTGTAACTTGTGAAAAAAGCTTTTCTAAGCTACAATCAATAACTTTTAAAAATTCAATCAACTATATTAGAAAATTATTTTTCTATTCTCTATAGAAAATGAGTAGAAACTACATGAAGCAAATTAAACGCAGATCAAAATATGAAAAAATGTGACTATTACTAATGTCAGGCAGTTAATAAACAAGAATACTTCGATGTCATTTTTTCCCTGAATTTTGTGATAAACATTTGTCAGCATTAAATTTTTTAAAATTTGTTGTGATTTAGTTTTCCATTCTAAGTAAATATTATTCACTTTCATACTTAAATGAAAACACACATAAAATACCTGACATTGTTTCATTACATGGCAGTTAACTTCTTA